GGGGTAATGTTTGTGTTTTAACACTTAAATGACCATAACAAAAGATACGTTTTGGTAAGTAAAGATTGTGTAGGATGATGTGAACTCCACATTAGTCTTTTAGATGAAGCAGATGACATTCAAAAGGAAACTAAAGGTTTCCTTGCCGTTTTAAATAGTGTTTTAAATATTGCTTCTGTTCTCTGTTCTTTTATGCTAGAGATGTTTCTGCCGAGTGCATTCTCCTGTTGATGGTTTTGAAGTTGCAGTAGCTCCTGAGAATAAGTAAAGTGGTTTGGTTTCTGCCCCTAGAGTTTCTTAGAGTTGCTTATGGTTTCTCTGCAACATGAGAATTCTTTCTGGTTTTATTGAATCCTTCGTGATTTGTTTGTCTATAATATCTGCACTCCACTCTCTCTATTCCTGCTTTCTTGAAAGGCAATCTAATTTTATGAATGTATTCAGGTGGTGGTGAATTCCAGAAGCACGGTCACAGGAGCCACTTTTCATAATTGGCAGCTTATGTCCACTTGAGGAATTTGTTTCCCAGGAGCTGAAGACTCGCTTGTCTTGATGGATTTCTTCATTGCTGTACTAATTTTCCCCTTGATATTCAGAAGCTTTCTCCCATGGGACCTTGATAGCGTGTGATTCCCAAAACTCACCACTTCATTTTTTTCAGGCTCCAAGCTTCCATCTGTCATCTTTGATTGCTGCAAAATCTGTTGGAGGGGAAGACTTTAAAATGATCTTTAGATCCAAAAGCTTGACAGAAATAGAATGTGGATCACAGGAGGTAAAATCCCCAAAGGTGTGATCAGCTTTCTTGTATTTCTTACATGTTTTACTACAGAGTGGAAAAGAGTTAAAGGGGAATTTAAAAGTATTTTCCTTGTGATTATTAATAGCGATATTAATAGGTAATCCAAATAAAAATAATTAAGAAGAGAGGTTAATCTCTTTCCCTTCTTTATTTTATAACTCAGTGATTCTCATCCAGTTTTATCAGGATGATGAGGAAAAACTGGGAAATAGATAATGGCAATAAATGTTCTTGTTCTGATGGTTGCATAGGCGAGAGGCTCATAAGTCACCTAACTCCCGGAACAGTGTTCTCTCCAGGAGAACAGCTTATGCTGTTAGTCTCCATTTTCAGGAACACTTTCTGACTAGACAACATCATGTCCTTAGAACAACGTCGTGTTCAAACTCTGTGCAGAATTATGACAGCTGAAGAAGACAGTGTGCTTACACAGTTCATACTGTACTGTATCTTGTGAATTGTTTTACCAAATGATGTATACAGTAAAAGTGAACATCAGGCTTTTCTAGGCATGTAATGTTTAAGCATATTAGTTTTATTTGAAGTAAGTAAGTATCAAACATAGCCAAAGCACAATGATTACTATGACCAACCTTCTCAGGGAGTATAGCCAGAAGGCTCCAGATATTTACATGTAACATTCATATAGGAAATATTGCAAAAGGAATGACTTTGTAAAGTATTTTAGCATTTATATTTTTAATTAAACAATAAAACATTTCATAAAAACACAAGCTAAGAATTCTTTTCCAAGTAAATTTTGGTAGTTGAAGTAGTCTGTAAATCAAGGCATGTTTAAAGCACATTTAAAACAAAATCATAACATTATACTAAATAAACTTAAATTACTTTCTAATATTTCTAGGTATTTTCCCATTTATAAATGCAAGATATGCTTATGCATATGTAATCAGACTGTTTGGGTTTTTAAACAGTCTAATATTTTATTTTGGAGCAATGCATAAATTATCTTCACTGTAAATAATTTAAATATTGTAGAAAAAACCCTTAAAGTCTTCCTGCCCATTCTTCTCAATTCTGCTTTTGTGCCTCAGGTAACCCTGTTTCAATACTGGCAAAGATTGTTCCCATTTTTTTCTAAAGTTTTAACTATTATATTAGTTACTGTTTTGTAGTTGTAAAATGCCATGGCCAAAAGCAACTTAGAAAAGGAAGAGTTTATTTTGCCTTACAATACCACAGGGATAGAGTCCATAATGGAGGGGAAGACATCCAACAGGCAGACATGGCGGCAGAAGAAGGAAGCTGAGAGACCATGTCTCTGCCATACACAGGAAACAAAGCAAGAAAGCAGGTACTGGGCCAAGGCTTGAACTCCCAAAGCCTTTGCCCAGTGACATAGTTCCCCCATCAAGGGTAAAAGTCCTATAACCTCCCCAGACAGCACCACCAGCTGGGGACCAAGTGAGCCTATGGGGGTTATTTCTCATTTAAACCACAACAAATACATACATACATACATGTATATATATTAGGTGACACGTGTATATTAGTATGATATTACAAACACATAGTTTCATGTCATACTTAGTAATGTGTAAGCTACATCTTGCCTTTTCTTCTCCTTGATAAAGTCTTGACATTCTTTTCATGCCATGACATAGAAATATGTTTCATCTACAACATAGGGATTGACTTCATCCATGACATGAGATCTATTTTTTTCATGACAGAAATCACTTCATCTATAACATGGAAATCTACTTCATTCTTCTTGTTATGTTTTGTTTTTCCATAACAATTCCATAGGCTCATACTTTATTTTATTGTTCTTCAAATAATGGATATGAATGGGAATATACTGGTCATGAAGGTTATCTTTTTGTAAAAAAGTAAAATAGTATATTATATACAATATTTAAAACATACCTATTATTTTATACTAGAATTTATATTACAGATACATTTGACATGAAAATTACTCATTGTATGTGCAAAAGTCATATAATTATAACTTTTAAATTTGAAATAATTTTAAACTATACAAAGTCTCAAAAATAGTGCATAGAGTTTATAGACCCCAGATTCTCACAAATTTAATGATTTATATAGCTATGGTATAAATATAAATTATAAATTTATCTTGGTACAATACTGTTAACTGACCTCCAGATTTTGACTTAATCATTTTTCTGCTAATGTTGATTTTTCCTAGTCCAGAGTTCAGTCTAGAGTGTCTATTGTCCTTTGAGTTTCCATTTTCTTCAACCTTGTGACAATTTCTCAGCCCTTGCCTTTCATGACTTTGGGACTTCTGAAGAATCCTGGTCATTTCAAAGACTGTCTTGGAATTTGTGTTGGTCTAATATTATCTGTAATTATATTGAGATCATTAGTTTTTAGGAAAAACAAAAACGCCACTGAAGTGATGTGCCCTGCTTAGTGTGTCTTAGGTTGTACACGATGACATCAGCACGCACTGGGGCGGTGACTTCTGTTTCCCCAGGGAGTTTCCACTGTAAAATCATTACCTTTTACTAAATAACATTTTAGGGCAGATAACTTGAAATTGTACGTGTTCTGTTTTCCCTAAAACTTCACCTATCAATAAAATTTGTCTGAAATAATTTTTTATTGTGATTTTATTGTAGATATTTTCTCTTTCCTTTATTTCTTTTGCATTTATTAACTAAAAATCCTATGTGAGGAAGGGGTTTCTTCTCTCTCTTATTTATCTGATTAATGGATATGCTTGGTTTTGTTTTCTGGGTTATAACCTCAGACGTTCAGCATTTCAGATTTGCCTCTCAATGTAGAGGAAACTCCTAGTGAGTTTATTCCACCAAGAGTCATGGACTAAGAAGAAGAGACTCCAGCAGCAGTGTGTACATGTCATGTGGAAATGAGATGAGGACAGTTTCTGAAAGGAGAGGGGAATCTCAGGTGACTGTCATGTGGTCACAGCAGAGCACTCTAAGAAGCCGGCTTCTTGGCAGAAAGTCGGAAGAATTCACAACAGCAACACAGGAAACAGAAGAAAAGGAGAACGTTGTAATTCTGTCAGCAAATAATAAATGCAGTTTGGCGTAGAGTGTGTTGAGCAGTGAGGATGATGGGAACACTGAATGTAACGTAATAAAAAGTGCTATTTTATCAGTATTGGAAAGATGAGGGGCAGCTGGCAGGTGTGGGTGTCCAGCGACGTTAGGAAGATTTGTTCCTATTTGCTGCTCGACTACAATGTTGATTTTTCCTTCCCACTTCTGTAGCAGAGCTGTTACTAACCCTGGAGGCCAATTTTCCCAGTTCAAGGACTGCATTATCCAGTTTCGCTTGAAGCTGAGTGTAATCGTGTGGTTTAAATTCATCAGAAGTACTCAGGGGTCCGTTGAGAAGATTGATTTTAAAAGCATTATTCACTTGCTCCTGTTGATCAGAAATGGGAATGCACTGGTTGAAGCATCTGTAGCCATTGTGGACCGTGACAATCAAGTGCACGTTCCCATATGAAAGACCAGTCAGTGGGGAGTGTTGTGGGTACTGAAAAATTACGAACTACCTTATCAGCATGTTTTGTTTCAAGAAAGGTCTCTCTGTGGTACTGGCAGGCCCAAAATTCACTGTTAAGAATAACTCAGCCTCCAACTTGCTGTGATCCTCCTGCCTCAGCTTCCTGATATGTGCCACCAAATCCTGCATGTTTCATGAGAAATTGTGTATGTATGATGATGTTTTAGTCTTAGTTATATGTAGCAGAACCACTTTTAACTGATTTGTACCTAAATTAAAATATTAAGAAATAATCTAAACATGTTATTTAGTAGCATAGAGATAAATACTAGAGGCAACAGGACAAAACTGAAAGCAGTTGCCTTTGGCAAAGGGAATTGGGATAAAATCAAATGTTTACTATTTTTTCTTATAACAATTTCTGTAATATTTAACACTTTAAGTTATATACATCATTAATAAAATCAAATGAACTTTTTCTATTATAATTAGTATTTATATATTCACTTCTCACCTATAAATACTTCTCTTTTCATCTGGAATAACAACTGTTTGGTTTGGTTTTCTGCATATTTTTTGTATACAGTTGTTTTCTTAATACAGTATATATAAAGTGAGTAGTTTTCTTTAGTTACTTATTTAATTATATTCAATTTTTAATTTTAAAGTGCTATTTATTAGGAAATATTGAAGCATATAGTAGTAGTATTTGTTTATTTTTTTTTAGAGTTCAAGATGCAAACCTGCAGATAAAAAAGCAACAAAATGAATTTCAGAGAGTACAGGAAGAATTAGGTCATCTACAACATGAGTTAACAACCAAACAAAAGCAATCCCAAGTCTTCAGGTAAGATTATCTTTAAGAATGGAAAATTATAAAATTAAAATTATAAAAAAGCAAATGCTAACTTTATGAATATTCAAACATTTTCATCATATGGCTTCTAATCTTGAGAAAAACTGGAAATAGCTTCACTTTTTTATTGTCCTTATATCAACTAAATTGTTTTACTAATAAAATGTAATTGAGCAAACAGCTTGTTCTGTTAACACCTTGTTTTTGTTTTCTCTGTAGTGAAAGCAAAGTAGCTAATGCTTTTTTGTGTGTATGTATAGTGTGGTGACTTGTGTTGTGTTTCTGTGTACGTTCATACGTGTGTGCATGGTTATGTCTTCCTCTGTTGTTTTCTATATTATGTTTTGTGATAGGTTCTCTGACTAAACCTGGAGCTTACCACTTTAGTCAGACTGGTTGACCAGCAAGCATCAGGGATCTTCACACCTCTGTCTACCCTACAGTGGGTTTGTAGGCGTGTACCATCGGGCTGGCTTTTTACATGAGTGCTGGGGATCTGAACTGAGGGCTCCTGGGTGGCAAGCACTATACTACTGAGCAGCCCCTCTAGTTTCCTCTTGATTAATAGTTCTTGGCCATTTAATCTGATGGAACAGAAAACCTTTCTATGTGATAATACAGACCCTGAAATTTGGAATTCTCCAGCACAATTAATGTTAATCTCCTTCCATAGAATCTCTGGAAGGCTTATAATGCATAAAGATAAAATCCAGTGTACAAAAAAAATAAAACAAAAGCCTAGGAAATACATGCCCTTAACTATACTGAGAATGTTTATAAAAATGATTCTTTTTTATTTCAGGAACTGTTAGCACTTAGAAAAATAGATTAAATTAAAAAATAGGTTAAAAAGAAAGATAGGTTAAATTAAGATGATAAATGACACAGATTTCAAGATAACGAAAAAAAATATGCCAGATAAGTATTTTATATGTTGGGTTTTTGTTTTAATCCACATTCTAATACCACAAACATTTTTTAAAAGTTCTCTGGGCTCGTAATTTTTTAATGCATCTGTTGATGAGCCTTTTGGCCACCTGTGTACTTTTCATAAGTACCTTATGTATAACTGATAGTAAAGAATTATTGAAGGGATGCATGAAGGAAGTTTGCTCACACCTTTACTCTGTGTGTGTGTGTGTGTGTGTGTGTGTGTGTGTGTGTGTGTGTGTGCGCGTGCTCGCTCGCACTTTGCCTGTATCAGTGTCTGTACACCAAATGCATACAGTTTCCTCAGAGGTATTGTATCCCCTGGGACAGGACTCACAGAGATTGTGAGCTATCATGTGGGTGCTGGGGTCAAACCTGGGTCTTCTGAAGAGCAGCCAGTGCTCCTAACTGCTTATCCATTGCTCCAGCCCCACCCCCCAGATGCACATCTTTACCATTATAATTCTCCTTGGCCCATTTCAAGAGAGCCAGTAGTGACTAGCAGCCCTGATTCCCAGGTGCTTGGCTCCTGCTGTCGCCGTGGTCTATGTCTAGAGTACTGCATATGAAGATGTCTGTCCTCTTTGTAGTTAAAATAACAAAACAGAAGAAATTTGACATTGCTGTATACATCAGTATCCCTTCACTAGTCTCAGATTACATCTGTTGGCTCTGCATAATATGTTGAAAGTTTCCTTTCACTTTCAAAATTATTTCCATTAAACAATGGATTATGTGATCATGATAAATCACTTTTGAAGAAATATGTGCTGTTGTGTTTTCTGTGTTTAAAAATTCTAATTTTTTTGTTTTACTAATTGCAGTCAAAAATTGTCAGAATACAAATACTTCTGGAATAAGACCCTTTTATTACTTACTTTTACTAAAAGGGAACTAACCAGTATTAAATATGAAATACATGATAATTTTCAAAACTGGACTTCACTGAAAGGAGAAGTTTTGCTACAGATTAAATCTATAAGTGATACAGCCTTGGCAGGTTTGTTACTTATATTTACAGCCTAATTGCTTTTGTCTCTAACTGGTATATCATAGTTATGCAGTCATAGTATTTCTTTGTGTTCTGGGACTTAGAATTCACTTTTTATTAGTAGTTGGTATTGTAGAAAAACATTAAGGTCCATTCCATTCCTGGAATTCAACAGTTATACACTGATCTAACATAAGCTGTGATACATCCATTTGCAAGTTGTGGTGAGAGTCTGATTACCCTTGCTAAGTGTGTGGATTTGTTTAACCTTTTTCTCTACATCTCAATGGCTGAGTACTAATATGAGATCAGCCTCCCCCAAATAATAATTGTAAATATTGAACAAAAATACTCAACGTTGCTGAGAGACCAAAACTAAGCACATAAAGGCAGAAATGTCACAGACTGAATGAAGGTATGTACTCAGTGAAAGATGGCAGACTGAACAGGCAGCATGGTGTATTCCATCTGTGTGACCTTTTGGGAAGGGAGAACTATGAATTACTAACCTTGAATGACAGGTTGGGGGAGGACAAATAAACACATGATACACAGAGGAATTTTAAGATGTGGAGATTATTCTCTCAGGCTCTGTAGTGGCACAGTCACATCATTATGCATTTACTAAAATTATAAAATATACAACCAAGTGTGACTCCTAGTGTAAATGGTGAGCTCTGGCTAATAATAACATGTCACACTGTTAGTTCATCTTGACCAGATGCACCATTGTGGTTCAGGATGTCACTAGGAGGGGAGGCTGGGGATAGGGGTGGGGGGAGAGGGGTGTGTAATAACTGCTTTTTTCTCACTTTTACTAAAACTGCTTTAAAGACTCTTAAGATTATTTTAAATATTGAGAAGGGATATTTAACTTGGTGAATTCCTGTAGTTGGTTGTTTTTACTGGCTCTTTACTCTTTTGCAGGGCCCGCCACCCAGCTCCCAAATATATACACAGAGTCTTTCTACCTTTTGCCTCAGCCTTCATCTTCCTCTATTTCTGTATACCTTTCTTTACTTCTTCCTCCATGGCTTGCTGTGTAACTGTGGCTGGTCCCTGATGTTCTTCTCCTTCTCTTGCTCCTTGATCTCTTCCCCAGATCTCCCCTCCTATTTATTCTCTCTGCCTGCCAGCCCCACCTATCCTTTCCTGCCAAGCTGTTGGCCGTTCACCTCTTTATTAGACCATCAGGTGTTTTAGACAGGCAAAGTAACATGGTTTCACAGAGTTAAACAAATGCTACATAAAAGAATGCAACACATCTTTGCATCATTAAAACAAATGTTCTGTAGAAGAACCGAATGTTAACACATCATAAACTAATACTCCACAACAAATTCCTTTCCTTCTTATTTTTTAAAGGACAGTAGACTGAGGTCAGGATATAGTTTATTCTACATAGAAGTAAAAATTATGAAAGAAAAATGTGTTCTTTTAATCCTGAAGATGAGAAGACAGAGATGAAGGCAGACCCATCCTGTGGGACTAGCCAGGGTCTGAGACAGTGGGGAGAGAGCAGATTTTACATGGAAATAGTTTCCAAATCTCTGGCTTCTCTCTGGAGTGCATATGCACAAGGAAGACTGAGCAGCCCACCTGAGACTAGAATGATTGACCCTTTAACAGGTCCCTTCCCTTGGGGTGACAGACTTTATAGTTAGAATTAGCTAAATTAACTGCTCATTAAACCAAAGAAGAACCAAAGGAAAAAAAAACCTGTAAAACAATTTTTTTAAAGAATTGATGTTCATAACTGTTTTACTCTGTGTATATCTGTATGCCTGGGACCCAAGGAATTCTGAGAGGGATTCACATGTCCTGAAACTGTAGTTACAGAACAGTTGTGAGCCACCATGTGGGTGATGGGAATCAAATCTGGGTCCTCTGAAAGAGCAATCAATGCATCAATGCTCTTAACTGCTGAGCCATTTCTCCAGCCCCCAGTCTCCATAATGTACCACCTACGGTGTTAAGTACACAACCCAAAATTTCTTTTTCTCTTCTTTCTTTTGTTTCTGTTTTTTTGTTTGGTTTTTAGAGACAGGGTTTCTCTGTGTAACAGCCCTGGCTGTCCTGGAACTCACTCTGTAGCCCAGGCTGGCTTTAAACTCAGAGATTCTTCTGCCTCTGCCTCCCAGAGTGCTGGGATTAAAGGTCTGTGCCACCACTGCAAATATCTTAACCTGTAAAGAAATATTAGAAATATGGTTCATGTTCCCCCAAAGAGAGCAGTCAAACAGAGCAAACCCAAATTGCACCAGATGATGTGTGGGAAGCCATACCTCTTCTTACTTCTCTGTATTGTGCTTTACAGACAGTTTTTATAAATGTAAGGTTTGTGGCCATCTTTATTGGACAAGTCTCTCTGGGTCATTTTTCTAATGACATGTGCTACTTTTGTAAGCACACGCTGTCACATTTTGGTAATTCTTACAACATTTTTTATTTTTATTTTATTATCTGCAAACAGCCGCCTTCAATGTTAGTGTTATAACTCTTTTAGGACACTATAAACCCCACCCATATAAGAAGGTGTACTTAGCTTTAACAAATTCTCTGTTCAGACTGCTTCAAAACCAGCCATTCCCATGTCTCTTCACTTTCTTTTGGGCTTTCCTCTTTCCTGAAACAGAAATACCTGTTTGGTTGGAGCTTCCAGCTTGCCCCTGCACAAGCTGGAAAACCCCATTTGCCCACTTCTCCCAACCCCACCTTTGCTGAGAAAACCGAACAAAGAAATGGCACACAAGTGCCCACCCAGGGACCTAGCTTTCGACCATACTTGGGCACAGTCCCAGCTCCTGGCTGGCATGTCATCACCCCTTGCCTAAGGTCTATAAAACCTCCCTGTTTTGACTCAGGGATACCACTTCTCTGGCCTTGTTTTCTGAGGCCAGTGAACTGCCTGGGAGTGGCTTTGTTCTCACTAGGCCTGTTGTTATACTTGTAATCTGGCCCATTCTGTCAGTGGGGAAACTTATTATCTGGGGAAAAAATATCAATACCAACATTAGGTCAATTAATAACCCCACAGTGGATGCTAAGTGTTGGAGAAAATGGAAGAGTTGTAAATCTCTTGCCTTTAAATCAATAACTATAATGATTAAGCTTAGGAAGTCAAAAGCCAAGATAGGTCAAAAGGACTGAAACAAATTTTCAAGTTGTGAATGCAAAGAAAAAGTTCTTGAGGGAAACCAGGAGTGAACACAAAGAAGAAAAACAACTTTGTACTAATTTATTACTGATAAAGCTTTCACCCACAACATTCTCTTAAGTTAAAGTTTAATTTAGAGCAAGTCCGTCCTTCAGTTCATGAAGGTTGAGAAAAGTTAGAAAACTATAAGAGAAAAATTTGAAGCTAACAGAAGTTGGTTCAGGAGATTTGAAGGGGAAAATGTCTTCATAAGATAAGTGTGCAAGACAGGAGTAGGTGCTGACTTGGAAGCTGCATCAAATCATCTGGAACATCTGGTTAAGACAACTGATGAAGGTAGCCTCAATAAACAACAGACTTTCTTGGGGGACAGAGTTTCTAGCTCATGTCAGCCTTGAACTCCCTGTGTGGCTAAGGATGACCATGAACTTCTGGTCCACCATCACACTTGGTCTTGTAAATACCAGGCTTTCAATGAAACAGCTTTATGCTAGAAAAGGACACTAAAATTTAGGACTTTTCATAGCTAGAGAAGGCGTTGTCTGGCTCCAAAGCCTCAAAGGACAGGCTGACTGTCTTGTTAGGCGCCAATAAAAGCTGACTGGACATGGAAACCCCCTTTTCATCTGTCATCCTCCAAATCCTGGGACTCTTTGAGAATCATATGAAATCTACTCTGCTTATTCTCTATCAATGGAACAACAAAGCTCCGGGGATGACAGCACATCTGTTTACAAAATAGTTTCCTGACTCTTTAAAGCCTTCTGTTGATAACTGTCGCTTGGTAAAATGATCTCAGCCTGGAGGTACATGCCTCCTCCTCCAGCGCCATGAAAGCTTGGGGATAACTTATTCAAGGAATTCAAGGCTATCTTGGGTAGCATGCTGAGATATAGTCTCAAAGGAAAAACAAACAAATTCCTTTCAAAGTATAACTTCACCCAAGAACTCTAATGGAATTTAATGAGATTAGTAATGTTTTCATGCCTGTTAAATTGGCACCAGCCATTTTACAGCCTAAGGATCAGGGAGTGATTTGACTTCAAGTCTCACTGTCTATAAATTTTATGTTTATCACTATCAAGGAAAGTGGCTTCCCTGATTTATCTGAACATAGTAAACTAAAAACCTCTGGAAATGATACCCTACTGTAGATGTCATTAAGAATAAATATTATCCTTAGGCTTCACTATATAGATGCATTAAGAGATTCAGGATTCATGTCAAAATATCAATATTAACCAAAATTTAGAAGAAGTTAATTGTAACCAGCATGGCGTGGAGATCTCAATACATTAGTGGAAGAAGTAGTTGTAGACAACATAGAAACAACAGTTGTCCTAGTTGGCTTTCTGGAACTGTGATAAACACTGAGACCAAAGCAACTTGGAGAGGAGAGGCCCTCTTTCATTTGATAGCTTACAACCCCTTATAAAGGGAAGAAACTCAGGGTAGGAACTCAGTGTTGGGAACTGAAGCAGAGGCCGTGGAGCAGTGCTGTTTGCTGCTTTCCTCTCCATGACCAGCACAGTTTCCTTTGTATGCAACTCAGGCCCACTGGCCTGGGGGTGGCATTTCCTACAATGGACGGGGCCCTCCGGCATTAATCATTAATCAAGAAAATGCCCCACAGATATGCCTGCAGACATTTTCTCAGTTGATGCTCCCTTTTCCCAATGTCTAGCTTGTGTTACATTGACAAAAACAAAACAAAAATAACCAGCACAGCAGGACTAAGATGTGATCGCACTGCTGCTACATTTCTTGTGATAAAATTTTAACAGATGAGTTCATTCTGTGTGAGCAAAGAGTAGTTTCTTGAAGTAGACTGCTGGGGAGATACTAATAAACA